TTGAGGGAATGCTCATCAAATTTGCAGATGACACCAATGCCACTGAAGACAGAATCAGGATTCAATATGACCTTAAAAGATTGGAGAACTGGGTCCAAACTAGCAAAATGAATTTCAATAGGGACAAATGTAAGGTTCTGCTCTTAGTCAGGAAGAACCAGATGCACAAATATACTATGGGGAACATCTGGTTTGCCAGTAGTACATGTGAAAAGGATCTAAGGGTTTTAGTAAGTGCTTGTTTTCTGGCAGTACTCAACGGTACACAGTACTGGCACATTCAAAGTTGGAGACGGTCCAACTTACATCCTGTCAGGGACTGGCCAGATGAGGAGGAGTGATGGAGACCACCACCCCAGGAGGCTTCCTGGCAGGAGGCAGATGAAGATAGTATGGACCCAGATTTGTAGTGGTGGCAAACAGGACACACCCCAGAAGAAGAAAAAAGCTGCAAAATAATGGAGGATGAGGAACAGGAACAAGCTAGCAGATGCTCCAGTCCTGAACAGAGACAGGAGTCAGAAGTGGTAGAAACAGTACAGCATACAGTTGACACCATGTCACTTGAAAGCCTGGTAGAGCCTCCTCCTTCTCCTACAACCAGATGCTCCCTTTGTATCTTAGAGAAGAAAACCAACCAGAGACAGAAAGATTCCTTTACCGGCCACCATCGGCAACAGGAGGGGTTTGGAAGCCAGGAAGTACTGCAAGGGGGGGGGGTGGAGTGGGCACTCTGAGCAAAGTCTTGAAGGACCATATTTCATGGTCTCTGTATTTCTGTTGATTTAAATAAAAGAACTGGAAGAAGCTCTCTGCGTCTCTGATTTCACTAGGCAGTTAGCCAGTGAGCTCGTGATACAGCCCTGTCCTGTTGGCACGGCTTGATGGGCTCTGAGCTGGAGAGCAGGAAGCACCAGAGGCACTGTTTTGGGCTGAGTTGCTGCTGCTTCCTTACTCCAAGTCAACATGAATGGAGCCCCCAAAAGCCTGGGAGGAGCCCATGGGCATAGCCAAGGGGGGGCAGCTCCCCCCCCCACATAAAGTAAACCAATAGAAATACTTAACTGACCAATGACGTCTGTTCTCCTTCCCCAACAAAAGTCCTGCCCCCCACCAAGTCCTGCGCCACCAACAAAAAACCTGGCTATGCCCATTGGGGGCATCTCTCCTCAGCCTGGTGCACAGCCTGCTGATGGCTCAGATCACCCCAGAGCCTCCACCCTCCAGCGCTTTTCCTGGACTCCTCCCCATCCTCTTGGTGGCGAAGGAGAGGAAAGCTTCATGAGCAGGACCCCCTTTCCGGCCCCCACCTTCCCCCCTGTTGGGCTAGTGGCAGCGAGACGGCCTCCCCCGTCCCATCCCAACCATCTCCTGCCTGCTTTGCCTTGCCCAGCTTCGCCAATACCCAGTGGCCCTGGTGCCAAGGTGAGCCTCTATTCTGCTTTGGTCAGACCACACTTGGGATAATGTGGGTGCCACAATTTAAGAAGGATGTTGACAAACTGGAATGGGTGCAGAGGATGTGACCAAGAAGATCAAGGGTCTGGAAACCAAGCCTACGAGGAGCAGTTGACAGAGCTGGGTATGTTTAGTCTGGAAACGAGGAGACTGAGTAGAGATATGATAGCCATCTTCAAATATCTTAAGGGCTGGCACATCAAGGATGGAGAAAGCTTGCTTTCTTCTGCTCTGGAGGGTAGGACCTGAACCAATGGATTCAAGATACAAGAAAGGAGATTCTGACTAAATATCAGGAAAAACTTTCTGACAGTAAGAGCTGTTTGACAGTTGATCAGAGTGCCGCAAGAGGTAGTGGACTTTCCTTCCTTGGAAGCTTTTAAGCAGAGGTCGGATAGCCATCTGTCATGTATGATCTAGTTGAGATTTCTGCATTGCAGGGGATTGGACTAGATGATCCTTGGAATCCCTTCCAACTCTTCAATTCTATGATCCTATGATGTACGGAGGATTCAGGAAAGATAGCAATATAAAATACCAGGTAGCATTATTCTTCACTATAAATAAAGTAGTCTCCCATAGGTAGCTTGCCGAATGGGAGACTAGTTTCTTCATACTGCAGATTAATGGTATGAAATTCAGTCCAAAGAGAATGTCTTCCAGCACTTCTAGGGGAGTGGAAAAAAACAAATCCAGCGTGTGGCTTGTTTCACGTATATGGCTAGTTATTATTGGAGATATCTCCATGGTTGTCATGGAGGCCATGAAGTCCCAAGCTGACCTTAAAGAGTCAGTCTTGGCAGCAATGGTGAGGTTGTTTCTTAACAAGCTCTTACAGGATAGTTGCCATCATTATACACTCATGTGAATCACACAAAAGAGCTGTTTTTAAAGTAAATTATTATATTGATGATGACGACGATTTATAGAGAACCATTAGTGTACATAGTGGCTAAGTCACAAAGGCATGGAACTGACCTTCTAAAATAGACAATGACAAAAATGACAGGGAAAGGGAAGAATGTGGGCAATGCAATGGATTCTGATGAGGATTTAGGGCAAAAGGTGGATTTTGAGAAGGGAAAGATCACATACATGTTCACAATGGGTGTTGCATGCATAGGGAAACACTTTGTTCTTGTTCTTATTCCAGAAAGTTAGTTGTAGATATTACTTCATTTTGGGGACCAATCTTAACTATGGCTAGGGTTGCCAACTGACCAGAGGAAGTAGAAGCCTTTGCTTGCTCTTCTGTTTTGAATGGCAGCTCTAGAGAACAGTGTGTGAGGCATTTCACAGCATGAAGATAAATTATCACCTCATAATATCTGCACATTAAACTGCTGTTGAAGCTTCAAAGAGACAGGGTCAAAGGCTGGAACCCTAATGTTATATTTATGGTAAGTGTTGCCAGGAATGTACAGCATATGGAAAAAACAATATAAATGAATGAGTTTATTTCTCATCTTACTAATGCCTTAGAGATGCCCAGACTGATATATATATATACGAGAATAAATAAGCCAACAAAAATAATAGGTATGGTTATTTAAATGTTTGGCACATTAGTCTCTGCAACACCCAGGCATAACCGTTATATATTTGTCTATAATGCCAAGTACCTTTGGCTACTCCATGAGAACTAGTCTCACATTGCTCAAGTTACATATTTCAGCCAACCACTATGGTGTTTTTTTAATGGCACTGCCAATTGCCAAGTACCTCTCCCTGCCCGCCCCGGACTGGTTTTCTGTACTTTTTTACTTAGGTATAAGCCTCAATGAAATCCTCAGGAATTATGTGTGAATGTGCATTGGACTAGGTAGCACAATTTCAATAATAGCAATATCATCAATTGTTTTCTCACATAGGGTTGCCAACCCTTTCAACCAGTAACTGTGCCTTTAGCTGTACATTTATTCTCCATGTTGTGAAAACAGATCAAGCTGTTGTGAAAGCTCAAAGGGCAGGCCGGGCTGCAACCCTAATTCTCAAAGGATGGTCTTTTGGCAAACAAGCCGTTCCAGTCTCTGCCCAACGCCTTTCTTTGGGCTCAAGTCCAGAGGCAGCTGGTGGTAAAAGAGAGCAGGTAAGCACCTATCCTAACTGTGCACTTGGCAACCCTCACTCCCTGACAGTAATCTGAAGCCCTGACAGACGGCCCTGATGGGGGGAAATGGCACACACTCAAATCGTCTGGGTCAGCTCTGCCATTTGGCAACTGGAGTGATGCACACAAAATACAGCCCCATTCCTGCCCTGAAATATGATAAAATATGCTATTTGCTTAGTCCCAGCACGTAAGCCAACAGAAGTATCTTAATTCCCGTTGGGTATCTGGGAGCTGGGGCTAAGCCTCAGGCACAAGCCCCAACCCCAGACATAACATTTCTTAGACAGCGAGGTCGCCCCCCTTCATCTCAGCCTCTCAGGGCCCCGCTTTCCCCCAGCAGCGTCGTTGATCCTTCTAAAAATAAGAGGCTCGCCATAAAATGTCATCTGGCGGAGCTGGCGGCGAAAGAAACCGAGGCAGGTGGTGGTGGGAGCCCATGAGCAACAATAGCAGCCCTGCCCTCGAGGACCCATAAAACCAGCCCGTGTTCCTCGCGGCCATTTAAGTAGCGGACTCGGGCGGGGAAAGGGCTCCTTCCTCCCTCGGTTATTGCTGCTGCGTTGCAGTCGAAAGGCAGCGCAGTGGATCCGAAGGGTATTTTTTATTACTTTCCTGGGATTTCATTTCGGGGCGGAGGGGAGCGTGGAGCGCGCAGAGCAGCGAGCGAGAGAAAAGGTCCGCCATATTTCTGCCTCGCCACGCCCGGGGAGCCGAGCCGCCCGAGTCCGGCTGGCGACACACCTCGGGCGGGCGGCCGGCCCTCTTGCCCTCCCCCCTTTTCTTGCAGTAAGGGGAAGGCGGCCCCGAGAAAGGAAGAGCCGCTCCTCCCCGGCCCAAGCCGTCCTGGGCCGCGTCCCCCTCGGAGCGCAGGGAGCGGGGAGGGAGCCTCGCTGCGAGGAGCTTGGGAGCCCCCGGAGGCTCCCGCGGGGTCCGGCCCTTGCCGACCCCGCCCCGCGCGGACAACCTCGGGCGGCTTCTGGGCGGGGGCGAGGGGAGGCGGGGTGGGCGCTGCCAATGTGTGGGGGGCGCTTCGCTTGGCCAGCCGCGGGCGGGCAGGGCACGTCGGGGTGAGGCAGCTTAGAGGGGGCGGGGGGGGGACAAAGAGAGGGCGCTGCTTCCCCGCGACGGTCTTTCCCTTTCTCTCGCTGCTGCCGCTGCCTCCCCGGCTGGATGTTCCCCCTGTTTGGTGCATGATCGGGCGAGGAGGAGGCGGAGTGGGGAGCCGCGCGTGTGCCCGGAGGCGGCGTCGGGGGGCGGCGGCGAGGAAGGCGGGGGGCGCGTGGTGGCTGCGTGTGAGCGCGCGTCTCCGCGTGTCAGGCTCGCCTGGCTCTGCTCTTCCCGGGAGTGAGGCGGGGGGCTCGCAGCTCGGGAGCGGCAGCCGGGCTTTCTCCCTCCCTGCGTCGGCGGCGGCTTTGTGTGTCGGGGGGCGCGGCGCGTGTTTTGGGGGTGGGGGCGGGGGCTGCGCCTCAACCAGTTGGGAAGAATGACTCTGGAGTCCATCATGGCGTGCTGCCTGAGCGAGGAAGCCAAGGAAGCGCGCCGGATCAACGACGAGATCGAGAGGCAGCTCAAGCGGGACAAGCGGGACGCCCGCCGGGAGCTCAAGCTGCTGCTGCTGGGTAAGTCTGGCCCGCGGCGCCCTTCGCCCCATCGCGGGGCGGCTGCTGCCCCCGCGCCCCCCCCCACCCCCCGCGCCGCCTCCATTGCCTTTTCCTCCCCCACAGCGGCGGATGGCGGCGGCTCTGCCTGCAGATCGGCGATCTGCGCGGAGCCAGAGAGGAAATGCCCCCCACTTTGGGGTGTGTGTCGGAGGCGCGGGAGCGCGCCGCGGGGGGGGGGGGGTCGCTGCTGCCGCTGCCGCATATATTTGGATTTATTGTTCTGTACCGTTGTGTGCTAAAGCAGCCCGCTGCTGCTGTAGGAAATCAGATCCTGGTGGTGGGGAAGGTGTGTGCAGGGGGGGGGGGGCGGGAGAGAGGAGACAAGCCTAAACTCGAGTTCCCTCCCCCTTCCTCCTTCCCTTTCCCAACGGGCGCTTTGCGAGCGTCCACCGATGATGCTCATGGGGGGGGGTGCGTTGATCATGGAGGAAAGGCGAGCGGCGCCCCTTTGCCACCTTCCCCATGCACGTCTGTCCCTCTCTCCCTGTGCAAATCAGACGCGTGTAGCGGGGCGAATGGCTACCTCTGGGTTCCGGGGGGGGGGCTTCGTGTGGAGTGGGCGAAAGGGAAGCGGGGGTGCGGGTGGAGGAAGAATGGGGGGGGAGCGGGAGAGAGGCGGCGACTGAGATGGATGGCAAATGCGTGTTTTGGGGGGGGGGGGGAGGCGGCGAGGAAAGGAACCTGTCAACAAAGCTGGAGGAAAACGAGGCGGTGCGCGGGAGGAGTTGCCTTCCAGGATGGATGTCGACGGGGCTTAACATCTGCATTGGGGGGGCGCCCTCCGCCTTGGGGACGTGGAGCGACTCCCCTCTCCCTGCCTGCCCCTGGTTTTGCCTTTTGCTCTTAAGGAAAGGGGGCGGATGGTGGGTTGGCTTTCATTGCCTGGCTCTGCATCCACCCACACCTGGTGTGCCTGTGAATGGCTGGCTCTCCCTGTGGAGCTGCTGGCTTGACACCAAAGGCGCTTAAAGCGAGATGAATTAGAATGATTTAGGAGGCAAAGTTTGAACGGGGATGTTTGATTTAAAACATTTCTGAACAGCCTTTGCCTTGCAAGTTGTCCTCTTTGGGCAGGTATGGAGGGGGCTTGGACCCTCTTGTCACAGCCCTCTTCCTCAGAAGATTCCAGGGCAGTATAAATGAAACTATTCACACAATATCTGTCCTGCTTCATGACTGTGAAAATCTGGACTGTTCAGGTTTTGTGGGACTGCAGCAGCACTGTTAGTTGAGAAGGCGTGGTGTTATAAAACTGGCTACCATGTGTGAAAAGCATGAATGGATTATTGCTTTATTGAAGCCCTTCTCTGCGTTATACATAGAAGGAGCAATTGAATCTAGGATACAGCTCGTTTCAAGATTCAGTAAAATTGATTTGCAATTAGGAAAACAATAAACTTCATAGTCAGTGATTGCATAGCCATGTACACGTATCCATTTTGTTCTCATCTAATTTCTGTTGTGTGCTGGTGAATGTGGAGAAGAACATAGTTCTGAAAAGAAAAGGACCCTTACTTTTTGACCTCCATGTAATTGGGTTATTATTCAGTGCTTCATGGGAGGTGGATTAGAAAATAATGTGGGTGGGTGTGCTGTTGTAAGGAGACTGAGTGAAACATTTATAGCACATTGTTGCTATATTTGACTTACAGATCATATAGCCTTCCTTAGGGATATGTTTATTTCCCATTTCATGCATTATTAAGATTGCAATCCTAGATGAAGAATCCTAGATGACCTGAAACTGGAGGAAATGTAGATTTTGAAAAGTGTAGATTTTGAGATCTAGGACACTACAAACATGTGGTTTACATATGCAAATAAATTAACCCATGTATATGCTCTTTGTGATAGAAAGCACGATCAGATCTTTGTAATAATTTGCTTACACAGTTAATGATAATAGGTGGTTCAATATATAAATACTGTTGTTTGTATTTCAGTGTTGGTGAACATTAGGATTTTTTGGTTCCCACATTATCTATATAGCAGTGCCATGCTAGTTTAAAATGGGAGTTTGTAGTAGTAGTATGGCTTATCTGAAAACTTGCATGGTTTGCCCAATGTAAGGGAAAAAATTATATGAAAAAATAGATGTCCTACAGTGAGATAATTCTTTGAAAACATTCGTTTTCCTCTTTCTTACTCATGTCTAACTAACAGATGCTCCTGCTGAGCACTACACTCTCTAAACAAGCTTTCCTGAAATGAATTGATCTACTGCAGGGCTTTGTATATTTAGACCATTGTTAGCAAACTGGTGGTTTCACAAATGTAGTTGAAATCTATGACTATGATGTTTATCTATGACTAGCAAGTAGATTTAGCATTGTGCAATGCACTCATTCAAAGACAAATGGACCTCTCTGAGATTGATTGCCCTTTCGGAGAAAGTTAAGACAATAAGCCATCAAAGAGGTGAGAAATAACTTTTTCTTGCTGGATTGATTTTTGCAGCATCTGCAAACTTTCAGTAATATTTTGATGCAACTGAATTTGCCATTCAGAAACAATGAGACTTACTTACATTTAAGTAAATATTTTTAGGATTGAGGTGTCAGACTGATCAGAAGCATTCATACCTGGGAATGAACACACTGGGCTTTACCTCCAGCTCCAAGTAAATGTGTTTGGTATTGAAGAGTTAGCTCAAAATACAGTGGTGTCTTTTGTTTACTGAATTTTGTCAGAAACCTTTGGCTTGTATAGCTGTTTTATTTCCAGTTCCATCTTTTTAAAAATATATCCATATCAGTGGTATATCTTTAAATGCTTCTAATATTTTCTGATACGGTTTATTTATTAAATTTCTATGCTTCCCTTCATCTGAGGATCACAGGGCGGTTTACAATCTAAAACACAAACAATTCTTGCCATAGTAATAAACAGTAACAACACTCCAACACCCCTTTCACAGTTTAAAACGCCATAGAAGTCCTGGGACAAGAGGAATCCTTTTGCCTGGCACCTCAAGGTATGTAACAAAGGTGTCAGGAAAGCCTCCCTGGGGAGAGCATTCCACAAGTGAGGAGCCACTGCGGAAAAGGCCCATTCTTGTGTTGCTGCCCTCCGGACCTTTCGCAAAGGAGCAGTGCTGGAACTTAGTAGGCGCATTTTGCACCTGACTATCAGCTCCTTGCGTGCAAGTGAAGATGCCTGGGTGCCAGGATGGCAGCTGACATCTCCACCATCTGGCTGGCACATAGCACACTCTTTCTCCTCCGCCACATCCTGTATGTCGCCCCATGGGCACAGCCAGGATTTTTGTTGGGGGGGGGGCAGAACCTCATTTTGCTATGTATTTTTATTGATTTTTATTGATTGGGAGGGGTAGTTGCCCCTCCTGCTGCCCCTTGGCTACACCCTTGTGCCACCCTGCACCTCGGACTGCCCTGATCCTTCCTCCTACTCCTGCCCTGGCTTTGCAGGTGGCACCAAACCCCATAAATTGCCGACCCCCTCTTCTGAGTCACCCTCCCGGCTCCTTGTTTCTTCCACACACACTTCAGATCCCTAGTAGTCCCTAGGGGGCAGATGATGATCATAGGTTTGGGGTTGGTTCATGTGGGTGGAGGTGGTCCTTGAAGTATTGTGGTCCTGAGTCGTTTAAGGCTTCATAAATCAAAACCGGAAACTAATTGGCAGCCAGTGCAATCGGGCCAGGATAGCTGCATTATATGCTCAAAGTGTCTTGTCCCAGTCAGCAACTTGACCACTGAATTCTGTACCAGCTGAAGTTTCCAAACTGTCTGCAGATTCAGCCCCACATATAATGTGTTTCAGGCAGATTTTGCAATACATTATGGAAAGATGATTTGAAATGAAGCACTTCATATTTCAGAAAGTGATTGGATGTTTAAGGAATTATGTCTTGGAGATCAGGCACCTCAGAACTATGGTCTGGGAGCACCTGGTGGTGAAGCTAGTATGGATGCAAGAGCCTGGATGGAAGACCACCAATATCCTACATGTGGTGTATGTATTGCAAACAATCTGAGTTTGTTGTTATAAGGTTGCAAATTCTACATAATAACATTTCTTGGTGATTTGCAAGAAGTAAAAATTGCTTTCTGATGGCTAGGCAAGGAAAAATCACAAAACTGAGCTCTTTCTTTTAAGCATCAAATGACTAACATTAGATGTTGACAGGCTCAATTTTCACTGCAGTGACATTTCTCTCTCTCTGGATTATCATTCTGCAAATATTAAATGTTGTACAGTTTTTCATATTGTATAGCAAGTCTTCTGCATGTTATATTCAAATTGTAATTTGCCTTCATGAAAATAATAAAAGGGGTCAGTTTCTCATAGTCTCTCAGATACTGTCATTTAAAAACTTTTCTTTCAGTCTCCATATCTTCTCAAATTATAGTGAAAAGGGTAAGAGACCTCGTAAAGAATGCATAAACCTCAGCCCCACCCCCATCCAAATTCTAGGCAAATAATGACATAACCATTCAAAAATAATAACTAAGAGGTTATCACAAAAAAGAAGGGAATGTGGTCCTCTAATTCAAGCAGAACCAGCTATTCTCTTTGCGGAGGGCCAGTGCATCCCACCATTTTTTGGTAGCTAATTTACTGTATTTTTCCGTCTTTAAGATGCCCCCCCCCCATGTATAAGAACCCCCTATCTTTGGGAACTCAATTTTAAGAAAATGAGGGGAGATGGCCCAAAGTTGAGCTTCTCCCCTCACATAGCTGTGGGAAGGAAAACTCGCTAGATCATTTCCCACACGTAGTGGCATCGGGGGAAGTTGCTGTTCCGCCAACTGGCTGGCTGGCTGGCGGGTGCGCCGCTTGTGTCCCCCCCCCATGCCACTATCTCTGTATTGGACAACCCCAGTTTTTTGACACGATTTTTGAGTCAAAAAACCTTGTCTAATACACGGGAAAATATGGTATATGCTGCTGTTATTGGGTTCAACGTTAGTTTGTGGTAAACCATCTAAATTATT